GGGCACATCAAGTGGTTGCCACCTGACAACCAACCAGGTCCGGGGACAAACTGCAAACAAGGTACACACCCTTAGCGGGAACTGAACCCGGGTCTCTCTGGACCTCAGGCCGAGGCTCTAACTGCTGAGCCAAACCGGCCAGGGCTGTTGCCTTGTCTCTTAACAACCCTTTCTATGTTGTTTTTTTTTTCCTGTTTTTACCCACTTTCCCTTCCCCCACCCCCAAGACCTCCCTCTCCTCCTTTCCACTCCAGCAGATGCCCCCCCCCATCACGCGCCTCCCAGGCCCTCTATAACTGTGTGCACAGAGGCACGCTGTGTGTGCTGCCGTGTGCTTCTGTTTGTATCTGAAGTTACTAGATAGAGCTTTTATTCCCTTTTCTTATCTTAAAAGCAGCTAACTTGGCATTTTACGTCTTTCTTCCTTGTATCCCCAAACTTCATGATGTTCCTTATGGTTAGACGTGATCATGGTTCTTGATCAGTTTCATTTTATTTCCCCCTGCAAGCTGAAGGCCCAGAGCCACCAACCTCTGCCCTCCTTAGTTTGTGTCTAACCCTCGGCAAGCGGGGGCCTGGAGGATGGGGTGCCCAGAAAGAAAGCTGGGGTGCGCTGGGCCATTCAGATCGCCGCCGATCACTCTCCGAGCGTGCTGGGACTGAGCAGGGCTCAGCCCGACAGGCTGTCAGGGGAGAGCTGCTGTGTGGGGAGAAATGGTTGAGTGGAAAATTATTTTTTCGTTCCCAGTAATTGTTTTGACATGAGCGGTAATTAGCCAACAGCTGACAGACCAGAACTGGAGTGAGCACAAGAGAAAGGATTAGGCAGGACAGCCCCGGCCGGGCTGCGAGGCAGGCTGTGGGCCGGTGCCGGAGCAGAGGAGAGCGTGCCGGGCGGAGGCGCTCCCCTGGGGTGCTGTGAAGGGAGCACCGAGGGGCCAGCGGAGGGCGCTCCCCTGGGGTGCTGTGAAGGGAGCACCGAGGGGCCAGCGGAGGGCGCTCCCCTGGGGTGCTGTGAAGGGAGCATCGAGGGGCCGGTGGAGGGCGCTCCCCTGGGGTGCTGTGAAGGGAGCACCGAGGGGCCAGCGGAGGGCGCTCCCCTGGGGTGCTGTGAAGGGAGCATCGAGGGGCCGGCGGAGGGCGCTCCCCTGGGGTGCTGTGAAGGGAGCACCGAGGGGCCAGCGGAGGGCGCTCCCCTGGGGTGCTGTGAAGGGAGCACGGGGTCGGCCAGCAGCCTCTGCCCTCACGGATTCGGGGACAGCCTTGGTTCACAGGGCCCCTGCACCATCAGAGGTAGCGACTGATTCGAAACGAAGGCCTGCTCGGGTAAGAACTGACCCATGTCGTTGTCGCCGTCAAACGAACGGTGGTTCTGTGTTTTGTGGTTGGCAGGTTTGAGGGGCCTGGGATGATGAACTGGGAAGCTCAGCACGGACTTCTGTGCCGTGGTGCCGTCTGTGCCTGGATGCTTCTGTGTGGGGAGCTTGGACGGATTTGCCCATACGACCGTCTGGGTCCAGTGCCTTTGGGAGGGAGGCCATTTTTCAAAGGTTTTACTCATTTTGGCGTTTCTAGTGCCCTTCGAAACCAGTTTGATCGTTGGAACCTTATGGAAGGCTTTTTATGTATTAGCGTAGAATTTTAAATCAAATGCTCTTGCATTAAAAATGTCTCTACTGTGTTGGTTGTGCTTTTAGGTTTTCTTTCTAATTCCCAGTTCTGAGCATGTGTGTTCTCTTTACTCCCAAGTTACATGGGCTGGTCTGCCTTTTAAAAAAGTTTTTACATTTTTTTCCTTCTTTATTGATTTTAGAGGGGAAGGCAGAGGGAGAGAGAGATAGAAACATCAATGAGAGAGAACATCGATCAGCTGCCTCCTGCAGGCCCCCCACTGGGGATCGGGCCCACAACCTGGACATGTGCCCTGACCGGGAATCGAACCAGTGACCTTTTGGTGTATGGGTCGATACTCAACCACTGAGCCACACCGGCGGGGCTGGTCTGCCTTTTTTTATTGTTGTGACCCCCTTTGCCCAAAAGAACCAGTGGGGTTGTTAGTGCTATCCTGTCTCCTAACTCATAAATTTCTATTGTCACAGTTATATCTCTTTCTCATGTTTTCCTTCGCTTTATTTCAAAGGCTTTTTAATTTTTTCTAAACTCTTAAATGTTTAGTTCACTTGTTATTATTTGTCCCTGGATTTGGTAATGAAATAATTAAGGCTAGAGATTTTCCTCCAAATACAATTCAGGCCTTGCCCCATTTCTGTTTGACGTGTTCTTCCTCATTATCTCCTAAACATTGTGGAACTGTTTCGAATTCCTCTTCGACCTCGGAGTATTTAACAGGGCATTTTCTTTACATTTCTGATGTTATTTTATTATTAATATCTGCTTTTATTGCTTTCTACTCAAAGAATGTGGCTTGTGTTATTGAGGCCCTTTGCAATTTATTGATATTTTATTTGTGGCTTAAAGATGCCCAACTTTTTTTTGTTTTGTTTTTTTAATGTTGCATGGCTTCTTGGCACAAGATATTATCTTTGTTTGTAGGGTATTATGTTTCACACATCGCGTTCAATCAGCCTTTTAAATTAAGTTACCGAGATTTTCCAAATCCGCACTTCTGTCCACTGACGGCTGCGGACTGGCAGCAGCGTGTTAAGGTTCCTGCTGTTCCCTTGGTTCTCCCGCGTCGGTGGGTTTGTTCCGTGTCGGTGCTGTGAGGATCCTGGCGTGCCGCGCCCCCAGTTTGGGTTGCATTTAACACGGTCTAATGCCCTCGGTGGCACAGCTCATGCCAGTGGGAGTAGACTGTCCTCAGCCCCCTTGGCTCGGCATTTGTTCTCTGAAGCTCCTGGAGTCCTGCCCCCCTTTACTTGGGGGGCTCCTGGGTAGTGCCAGCATTGCCCAGTGCCTGAGGGGCGTGTAAGCCAGGACGCAGGCTGCCACGTGGGGTTAATTTATTTCTCATTGCTTCCCAAGCCACCGCCTTGGGGGCCAGCTCTGTGCCCAGCCTTCCTCCGGGGTGTCTGCCCAGCCTTCCTCCGGGGTGTCTGCCCAGCCTTCCTCCGGGGTGTCTGTGCCCAGCCTTCCTCCGGGGTGTCTGTGCCCAGCCTTCCTCCGGGGTGTCTGTGCCCAGCCTTCCTCCGGGGTGTCTGCCCAGCCTTCCTCCGGGGTGTCTGTGCCCAGCCTTCCTCCGGGGTGTCTGCCCAGCCTTCCTCCGGGGTGTCTGTGCCCAGCCTTCCTCCGGGGTGTCTGTGCCCAGCCTTCCTCCGGGGTGTCTGCCCAGCCTTCCTCCGGGGTGTCTGTGCCCAGCCTTCCTCCGGGGTGTCTGTGCCCAGCCTTCCTCCGGGGTGTCTGCCCAGCCTTCCTCCGGGGTGTCTGCCCAGCCTTCCTCCGGGGTGTCTGCCCAGCCTTCCTCCGGGGTGTCTGTGCCCAGCCTTCCTCCGGGGTGTCTGCCCAGCCTTCCTCCGGGGTGTCTGTCCAGCCTTCCTCCGGGGTGTCTGTCCAGCCTTCCTCCGGGGTGTCTGTGCCCAGCCTTCCTCCGGGGTGACTGTGCCCAGCCTTCCTCCGGGGTGACTGTGCCCAGCCTTCCTCCGGGGTGTCTGTGCCCAGCCTTCCTCCGGAATGTATGGCCAACCCTGCCCCCAGGAATCGGCTCAGGGAAGGCCCTGTTCGGAGGTGGCCCCAGAGTTCCCACTGCAAGCAGTGAAGGGAGGGGGCACACCCCTGGCATGGGAGACATTCTCAGTGGGGTAGCCTTCCTCACCAGGGCTTGCCGCCCGCCCTTGCCACTGTAGATGAGCAGGTGTCGCTGACTTCTAGTCATTGTCCCCTTGGCTTCCTGCCACCCTGCAGAGCCCTTCAGCGGAAACCATGACTTGGACATCAGCGTGTGCCTCTTTCTCAGGCCGACCTGCGCAGTGTGTGTTTGTGGCAACCCCTCTGCGCCCCAGCGTGAGGAAGGCAGGCTGGTCTCCAGTGATCATGCATTCTTGGGGTTCAAGGTGGCGAGATTCAGGGACAAAGCAGTAAACCTCCCTCTTTCTTCACGAAGTCCTTTATAATTCACAGATCCGTTTTGCAAGTATAGTCTCATTTTAGTTTCATACCAACAAGTAGGTTTGGCAACTGGGTAGAGTTATCCCCATTTCATAGCTACAGAAACTGAGGCTCATGGAGGAGGAATCACTCCCTGAGCCCACCTAGCTGCACCCACGAGACCAGCGCCACCTTCGGGGACGGAGGTTGGGGGGCTGCGGTGCCTTTGTGGTGTCAGGAGCATGCCGTGGGGTGGGGGCTGTAAGTCGGCTAGGATGGGCATGTTTCTGTCCCAGAGATTGGTAAATGCCGTGAACCAGCCCCCCCGCCCTGGAGGACAGGTCCGTTAGCTCACATTGGGAGCAGAGTGGGTAGAATTTCAGAGCCTTGAATTTTTTTTTTTAACTTTGAGAAAACCAACTCAAGAATGATGTCGTATAATCACCTGGCTATTAAATGGCAAAGCAGTTGTCATGGAAACCAGTAAACACAGTCCCTTTCCATTATACTCACATCACACCGTGACGGTGAGGGTGGCGAGGTCCTCAGAGAGAAGGTGACTGGAGAATGACAGGAAGGTGCTGGCGGGGCCTCCTGACTCCAGAGAGAGAGACTGGACCCTGGACCAGCACCAGCGACCACAGCTGATGTGGCATTTGCAGGGATGGCCACTGGACCTTCATGGCCTCACCTCCTACAAGCACATTCCTGTTCCTCTCTGGTTCAAAGAGAGACTTGGTCCCTCAGGAGCTCAGTAAGTGGGTGCTGGGGATTAGAGAGGTGCTCTCAACCCATTTCCAGCTCTGTAAATACCGGTAAGATCCTGAGAGGGGCTTGCGGCCCCGCCAGACCTTGGAACCAAGCCGTGAGGTGGGGGAAGGGGCTGAACTTGCAGAAAGTCAGAGGTGCCCGTCTGTGGCCAGCACAGCATCTGAGCGGTGTTTCTGTCTCCACAGTGAATGGATACCACGCATCAGGGACCCCAGCGCACCCTCCCGAGACTGCCCACATGAGTGTCCGAAAATCCACCGGTGATCCCCAGGTAAGGGTCCTGCTATGGCAGGCAGGGGTAAGCATTTGTGCAGGATTGGGGAGGTGTCATTAAGATGGGCACATCGTGCCTGGTTGGTGTCTCAGTGGTTGAGCATCGACCCATGCATGCACCAGAAAGTAGCCGGTTCGATATCCGGTCAGGGCACATGCCCAGGTTGTGGGCCTGATCCCCAGTGGGGGGCATGCAGGAGGCGGCCAATCGATGTCTCTCTCTCTCTCTCTCCCTCTCTCTCTCCCTCTCTCCCTCTCTCTCTACAATCAATAAAGAAAAAAAAAAAGATGGGCACATCATGGGGGTGAAGGTGGCTACCTACAGCCCACTTCTGCCCTGAATAGAACATCGTTGGTCTCTCTGGGTCTCCCCGACGTACCATGGTTGGGAGAGAGTGGACCACTGTGGTGTGTTTGGTTTCTCTGGCAGCTGGTGGGGTGATTGTGGGATGGTGATGGGATTGTAACTGTTAGGACAGAGGGTCCCCTCTGCTGTCTGGAGTCCTGATACCGACTCTAGTTCCCCACAACCTGAAGGGTGTGGAGGCGGACAGGTCATTTTCCTTCTCCACGTACTCCCTGCCCACCCAGACCTCGCCCAGAACGGAACCGTGTAAAATGGGACAGACTGAGCTAGCATGGAGGCAGCCATGGTGGGAAGGAGTGGGAGTATGTTTTGAGATGCCCAGGCTGCTTCTCGTCCATCGTCTCAGTGTGCAAACGCATGAGGTGGGTGGCAGTAAACTCCCACGCCACAGACGAGGTCACCGGGGTCCAGGATGGTGAAGTGACATTTGCAGGTCACTTCAGTGGTCAGACTGGACCTGGGTCCAAGCCCCATGGTTCCCAGTTGCGTTAGGCTGCATTGGAAGAACTCGGGACTAGTCTTATTTATTTAGTCTGTTCAGAAATGATCTAGAAGATGTTCTTCATGAAGCCTCCAAACTCTATCAGCCTTTCCTTGAATTAAAATGCCAGGTCCCAAGGGTGGTGGTGGTGATGGTGATGGTGATGACGACGATGATGGCAACAGCTGCTGCTTATCAACAACAGTGGCTGGTACATGCCAGTCACTGAAAGAAAGACCTTGGCATGTGTCACTACGGCTGGCTGCCACGTGACAGTCAGCTGTCGGGCAGGCAAGAGCGCTGATTTTTCGGAAATGTAATGTAATTCCTGTCTTAAGAAGCCGAGCGCTGGGCTCGGGTTTGGTTCAGTTCAAACTCCAGGGGAGAACTTGGACATTTGTGTGGGCCAAGACTTTTTATATCTGGATGGACGAATGAGCCACCTGCACCTGTCAGAATGCAGATTCCGATTCGAGGTGTGGGAAGGGGCTGAGGTTCTGCGCAGCCAGCCGGTGCCCAGGTGATGCTGCCGGTGCAGGGCCGCACCCGGGGCGGTGGGGATCTCGGCGCAGCCTGTGTGCCTGCCCCCACGGCACAGACAGAGCCCTGGCCTGTGTGTTTCCTGCTAAGCCCCAGGTAGCCTTCTCCACGCAACTGTCAGTCTGTTTGAAGTGAAGCTGATTTCCCACCCGACTGAGGACTGAGGACTGTTCTCTGAAGACACCGACCTAATTTCTGCTGCGGTTTATCAACAGCAGAAAAGCTAGGGCTGCCTGGGCATCATCAGGAAGATATTGGACACTAGCCCCCATCATTCGCCCTTCCTTCTCTTGTAGAACATGGCTCCCCCACCCTGAAATACTGCGAAGTTGATAGGCACTTAAAACAAAATGTGTACTGATGAACCTTCTCAGAAGCCATTTGATGGTGTGAGCTCCAAGCCTCTAACCCGGGAATCTCCCCTCCCGCGTCTGTCCCTGGGGTATCCGCAGGGGCTCTGATTTCAGTGTGACGCGGTTCACACCAGCAGTATTTACAGTATGCCACACTGAGCCACCCTAATACCCCCTGGGGCGGGCAGAGTGGGTGGGGCACAGACACCCAGCCTGCCAGTGCTGTCATGCAGTCATTAAAAAGGCATCCTTCTGAGGAAAACATAGCGGTTTAGGAAAACGCTGGGAACCTAATATCGAGTGGGGACAGCAGAACACAAACTGCGCATACACGCAGTCTTCCCTAGGGGAGGAAATCCATGGTGTGGGAAGACAAATAACTGGAGGAAAGTGAACCACACGTTGATGGTGGTTCGATCTGCATCTGAGACGTGATCCTCAGTCGGGCCATTTGGCAGTGTTTGGGGACGTGTTGGTTGTCACAGCTGGCTTCTAGTTATCAGGGGTCAGTGATATTACTAACCATCCCACAATGCACAGGGCAGCCACTGTTACCCAAGAAGTATCCAGTTCGGCCCTGGCCGGTTTGGCTCAGCGGTTAGAGCGTCGGCCTGCGGTCCACAGAGACCCGGGTTCGGTTCCCGCTAAGGGCACGTACCTCGGTTGCAGTTTGTCCCCGGCCCTGGTTGGGTCGTGTGGGTGGCGGCCACTCGATGTGTCCCTTTCACATCAATGTTTCTCTCTCTTCCTCTCTCTCCTTCCCGCTCTATCTGAGTAAAAAATGGAAAAATGTCCTCGGGTGAGGATAACAAAATTAAAAAAATAAAAAACAAAATAAAGAAGTATCCAGTTCGAAAAGATGAATGGTGCTGAGCTTGAGAAACCGTGGTCTTGGTAATTTTTATCTTCTTTATACTTTTCATTATTTTTTAGATTTCCTGAAATGAACACGTTTTACTTTTATAGAAGGCAGATAGAATGAGCATTATTTTTTTAAAAAGAAGCAGCAGCCCTGGCGGGTTTGGCTCAGCGTTTAGAGCATCGGCCCACGACCAGAGAGTCCCGAGTTCGGTTCCCACTAAGGGCACGTACCTCGGATGCAGTTTGTCCCCGGCCCCAGTTGAGGGTCGTATGGGTGGCAGCCACTCGGTGTGTCTCTCTCACATCGATGTTTCTCTCTCTCTCTTTCTTCCTCTCTCCCTCACGCGCTATCTGAAGATAAATGCAAAATGTTCCCAGGTGAGGATAAAAAAGAAGAAGTTAGAAGCAGCAAGGTGCTGTACTGGGGATGCAGGGACGTGAGCCCTGGGCAGGCCGTGATTGTTCTTGATGAGTGGAATTCTGTGTATTCTTTTTGGATGACATGTTGACAATTGAAGTATCATCAGAGTAACAAGAATATGTAACGCAGCCCATGCAGAGGGCGGATAAGCATTTGTGCATGAGTTCCCGGAGCTCTAAGGCAGAGAGAACGTGACAGGGTTTGTGAGCTGGCTGTCCCCGGGGTGCTGAGGCCAGTCATGGAAATAGAATGGGAAGGTTTGGTGTTTGCAGAGAGTGCCCGCAACAGATGACCCCAAAAGATTTACAGCTCTCTTCAGCCTGTACTACATTGACTCACACCACCCCAGGCTGAGTTATCATTAATAACAGTCATGGTTTATATTTGAAGAATGAATGAATGGGCAAATGAACACATGGCTAGTTGCACTGCAGGGTGGCGGTGGGCAGTCTCATGCGCGACCCCCTTTGGGTTCTGTTTCTGCTACTTGGTAGCTGCCTCTCTTTGAACATGCTCATCAGGAAAATCAGAAAGTTGAGGGTGGTGGGGGTGGGGGGCATACCTACTCTTCATGGAAACCAGGAGTGTGTCTCCACTGTGCCCTGTGGTGGGCGGGACTGCTGGCTGGGTGTCCGGCAGCCCCAGGATGCCTGTCCTTCCTTCTCCCAGCCCTGGGAGACCTCCAGGGCTGGGCACAGCTAGTGGTGATCGGGCGCCACCCAGTGGAAGTTTTCAAGTCTGCAGCCCTGGGCAGGCTGCTGGGGACTGGATAATTGGCTCTCCTGATTGAGAGGCAGGGGACTCAAAGGCTGATAGTCTTGCTGGCCTTTGTTAGCAGCACATCCTAGCCTGTCCCCTGCCTGCATAGCTGCCTGAGGCAGCGGTGGTGGGGACCCTCTCAGATCCCTTAGCAGGTATGAGGAGGGCAAGGGGCCTGCCCACCAGTGCCCAGGCTTCTTGTGACCCACCTTTCCACTGTCCTGCTCCTCGAACTTCCTCCCAGCAAGACACAGGAGAGGGGAAAGGGGATGGACCAAGGGCTTGGAAGCTTAAGGGACCCACTGGGGAAGAGTTTGAAATACTGAGGACTCATTTACTTAATCCTGTCCCCCGCCCCCTTCAGTAACACGTGTTCTGTTGAGCACATCCTTCTTCACCAGGCAGAGTCAGACAGAGGCAGCCCCTGCGCCACGGGAGGTTTATAGCTGGTGCTGGACAAAGACGTGAGAGAAATGATTATTCGTTTCTGCAGTGATAACAGCTGGAGGACGTGTGTGCTGCGAGGCGCTGGTGGGTGGTGGTGAGTCGTCGTGGGAATGTCAGGGAAAGGAAAGACTACTTCAGAAAAGATACTTAAGCTAAGGCCGGATGGATGAGCAAGGGCTTAGGCTGGCAAACAGGTAGGTGAGGGAACAGCGCGAGTGGGTGCCTGGAGGCAGAATTTCAGGGACCCGTAGCGGCCGAGTGGGGCTGTGGTTCACTCACCTGGCAGGTGTAGGGAGGGTGGCAGGTGAGGCTGGAGCATCTGCTCAGGACTGTGAGGAGCTTGGATTTGTCCTAATAGTACAGGGGAGCCATTGAGAGGTTTCATACTGGATCCTGCCTGCCAAGGGGGTGGGACCCAGACTGTTCACAGGCAAGGAGACAGAGTGGGGGCTTGTGAACCAGTTGTGAGTGACCCCCACCCCCACGCGGTGTGCCAAGCACTGCCGTGTGTCTTCACCACTGTCCGTCAGTCTGTCGGTCCCCCCCTCACGGTGACAGCAGAGCTCTCAGGGGTTAGGAAACCAGGCTGGAGATGGATTTTCAAAAAGGGAAGGAGAGTGTGAGCTTCGTCCCATGGACGGAGAGGTCCCCCTTTGATTCTTGGTCAGGACACATGCCCGGGCTGTGGGCTCCCCAGTGGGGGCGTGCAGGAGGCAGCGGTCAGTGTGTCTCACATCAGTGTTTCTCTCTCTCTAAAAAAATCAATAAA